CGGGAAAAGATGGAACGATGCCCGAGGCGATAGAATTTGTCATCTCTCGGCTCGCAGATCCGGCTGAACTTGCCATAAGGTCGCGCGTTCTCATTAACAACGAGGTATTACTTCCCGAACGTTGAAGAGCGATCTCATTTCGAACACATTCTCTCACAATTTGTGTCAATTCTTTCCTAACATCACGCCCTGATCCGTCTTCCGACTCCATCTCTATTCATGAGCATTAATGGTCGGGGCACTGGGTCCGCAATACAGCGTATTTAACTGGGGACTGGACGGGGATTTTGTTGAATGACGATATTTTGAATGTCCGGGAACTTTCGAACACTTAGTCATAACAGAAGGTATGTCATTAAATAACTATGCATGGTAGAAGTTGAATAACTGTTTTTGTTGAGTAAAAAGTTTGGACTGAAGTTGAACAATTAATTTTGTTGAGTAAAATATATATAGCTATTGAAGTTGAAGAAATATTGTTTTTGAATGAAAATAATTTTGGTTGAATATGAAAAGAAAATGCGTGTCGTTGAACATAAATATAAAATGTTGAATATAACTGTAAACTGCTGAATAAAAATATATTTTGTATTAGCATAAATATTAGTTGTTGAATAAAAAATATGCAAGTTGTTGAATGTTGCAACATTTGGCTAACCATATCCGGTTGTGCGTGTTGAACATAAATATAAAATGTTGAATATAACTGTAAACTGTTGAATAGAAATATGCAAGTTGTTGAATTTTGCAACATTTGGCTAACCATATCCGGTTGCCTAATCTTGTTGCAGGTACAGGCGATAAATTTTGTCACGTGTACCGCAGTATTTCTGAGGAAACGCAAATTATTATTGCAAGGAAGTTTTACGACAGCCACACTTAATCGCCGACAACGTAGATGGCTTGGCATCTGTCCAGCTCAAATTTGCCTCAGTGGCGTCTGGATCTACTCTAGCCTTTTTTGGGGGAGGTATTTCACTTTGTCGATCGAACGAGGAAACAACACTGGGCCTGGTAACCATTCCATTTCGAATGTTCCCGGAGTTGTCTTTGTGTGTAAACGGTCAGGAATCCGAATATCCTTTCAGTGTGAACGCCTACGAATCCGAATACTCCAAAATTGATGAATCCGCAAACATTTACGAATCTGGAAAACTCTCCTCTGGTGTAAACCTAGTCTAAGTTGTTATCAGTTAACTGTTGTTGGGTCAGGGGAGGGGTGTGTACGCACTTGGTCAAATACTAACAACTCAGGTCATCCAATATGTTCTTTATTTTCCATAACGTGCTGGCGTTCTTTGCATAAAGTTCTACATTTTGATGAAATCACTCTCAATTTAAATGGTAAAAAGTGTTCTTTATAAGCTGAACATTTGCATTCCTCAAGTTTAAATCAGAATGAAAACTCAATTGGTTTTATGCTTTAACTGTATTTTTCTTTTTTTTTTTTTAATTTTGTTATTCATTGTTTTGTTGTTATTGTTATCGCTAGTGTTATTATTATTGTTCCTAGTACATTTTTTTAATATGTTTTTTTTTTATTTGTTTTCATCGTCTCTGTAATATGGAAACAATTTTTAGTATAAACCTTTATTACGCATTGGTCGCCGTGACTTAGATAGTTTTCTTGTTGTACATCCCAGGCCCCGCGCTCTTGCAGTAGGAGAGAGACTGTGGAGTAGTAAGGATACGACAGACTTGAATGACGCTGAAATGCGACTCTGGGAGCACAGGTGTCGTTACGTCAGGTACTGATTACATTATCTAAGTGGCAAGCTCTTTAAAAGCTTTCCTATTCTCATTTCAGAAACGCACTCTTAAAGCTCTTTTTTTTTCTTGTAAGTCGGGATACATTTGATTCAGGCCACGACCCCACTAACACGTTTATAAGTTTCCTTTTACCTCTCAAGCCAAAACGAAGCAAAATATTTTCACCTACACAAGCGTTTTTGTTTTGCTCTCAATTGTTACTGTCAACAAAAAGGTCACACGGCAATAATGCTTTGGAAATGAGTCAGAAAGTGTGGGCCTAGTTCACGAATCTGTAATAGCCGTTTGGCTCCGACCTGATTCACTAGACGTGGGTTACGCTAGAGATACCTAGCTACTCTGAGTGCTACAATACTGTATTTCAAGAAGGGTGGATAGGATTTCCTCAAACGATCTTTCAGGTTGCACAGTATTGATTACTTTTCTTTGTATATTCTTCCTTTTTTCATAGACGTGGAATACCGGCAGAGCCTGGGGTGAGGTCTCAGTATTGCAGATATGAATGGGGGGTTTAGTTATGTGGTGACTCAACGACAAACTTGTTCCCAGTCGCCACTTATTTGTTTGAATTACGAAGTGAGAGAGGCTAGGTCCAAGAGGATTTCGTTTTGTTTTCTTTATTTGTATAGGGTATAGGAGTTCAATGTATAATGTAGTTCTGTTCGTTTGCGTCAAAAGCTCTTTAAGGTATATTCACCTCTGTCTGTACTACGAAATTTTAGGGATTTCACCCGCAGGCGTGACGTCAGAAATTACTGTTAGAGCTTCAAACAAGGACAAATTGAAATAAATATCTAGATATTCAGTCGGTTTGAGGGTTTATAAAGTTTTTTGTTTTCTCAAGGATAAAAATCAGTTTAAATGGGCATTTAAAAGGCAAGTAGAAAGACGATTTCACCATTAATAGTGAACGCTTGTGTTAGTTGGTGTCTGAAATGAACGCAAGCTGAAGAACTTACTATCCAGTAGTAGAAATTAACGCGAAAGAGGTGCTTAAATTTGTCAAATGGAAAAAACGAACGCAAATAAGGCAAAGAAAGAGTAAAATTGGCATGTTAAATTCTCGCGACTTAGAATGAAGTGAAACTGCCAAATTGACGTTGATTCCGTGAAAAGGTACTTTCGGCATCGAGGTAATACTAAACAGTTTTTGGAGTAAATTATGGTTCAGTTTAAAGCTAATTCCATATGAACTCATAGTAACTATAAGAAACGACCAAACAACCCAGTGGGTCTTCTCTGCTCGGGGGGAAGGGAGGGGGCGTTTAGTCAATAAAACGAAACACGATAGAAAACAGCGCAATAGAAACGAAACACTAAAATGACGTGACAATATTTAATTGCAATGAACAGTTTGACCACATTTTATTCTAAAACGACTCTGCACAGATAAGACTTAATTCCAAGGCTAAAATCTGCCAATAACACTACGAAAAAGGACAGCCAACCAGCTGCAATTCTAACTTCTATTTGCAGCTTCGCCAAAGGGAATAATAATTGTAAAGCGCAAACAATGTTCGGTGTCGAGGTACCTTAATAAGTAAAACCCAAAAAACCCTTCACAATTTACAATAAATTATGGTAACGGCAGCTACGAACTAACGTCTTTCTGTCTTCTCTGAACATATCGTGTGGCATAAAAAGCAAAAACTCAAATTTTCAAATGGATATTAAATGGAAAAGCGGTAACAAAGTATTATGAAACAAGATCCGCAATTAATCCATCATGCGCGTTCTACTGCTTCATCGGCCGTACGGGTGAAATCCACGGGATGGAGCAGTCCCCCTACCAAACGATTCCCCGTATGCCGGGGCTCCAGCCCCTGTGTAACCAGGGGGCTCGGCAGAGCCGTAAGCACCAAAGCTACTTTCAGAGGAGTATGAAGTCCGTGTTGGGCCGTACTGTAACTCTTGCTGTTGCTGGTAGTTACCAAGGCCTACATATAAAACAATAGCTTTAAGTTAAGGGAAGTGTACAGAAATTATCTGTGCTTGAGTTGAAAACGAGGGGAAAAGCAATTGAAATTAAAACGGAAACGAGATTCTTTCTTTCCTTTCCCCATTTCGCATCCAGTTATCTCTGATTCTGGGTAGAAATGTCGTTCCAAATGTAATCGCGCTACTATGGACAAATAGGTCTCCCTTTACAAGATCTAAGAAACTACAGCATACATCTTAGCACAAACAATGAATCGTCTAAAGTGGCTCAAGAACATCGGGCCGCTGATATATTTTAAAAATCTGCAGTAACATTTGAGGGACATAGCGAGGGAGTTTACAATTATCCCAAAATTCATTTCTTCTTGGTAAGGACTTCCACTAG